TCTGTCCTTTTACTTGAGGGAGGCGCCATCTCTGTCTTCCGAGGATAGCTCTGTATAGCTAGCTATCCTTGAGAAGATGGTCCACGGCTCGCCTCACAAGATATGTAGAAATAGAAGAGATCTTTGTAGAATTGTCTCCCAGTGTTCTTACAGTATTATAAAGGGAGGGGCGATGATGGATGGTCACATTTATTTATTCTTTCTTTCACCTAATTGAGCACTAGCCCTGTGCCTGGCCCCGTTGTGGGCACTGAGGATATGGTGGTCAGCAGTGCCCTTGCGGAGCTCACATTTTAGTGGAGAAAAGAGATAATAAACAGATTTGTAGTTAGTATACTGCTATAGTGTTAAGTCCTACAAAGAATCTAAAATAAGATAGGAGGACAGAGTGGGAGGGGAGTTATTTATAATTATAAAATAAACACCGTAATGAATTGTAAGTCATGCAATCGAAGGAGAGATCTACAAAGATCCTGCATAGAACAGAATCGCCGCGATGGCGTGGAGCAGGGGAGGAACAGGTAACTCGTTGCCACTAGTAGGAAGGCCATCACAGTGTTTCTAGTTAGAAGTGAGTACTGGTAATCACCAGAAGAGTCAATGTAATTTGCCTTAAGTGTTGAGATTCGGTACTTAGGAAATGTAGCCATGTCTCAGGTGCCTAAGTAGAGGAAAAGAGCAAACAGTCTGTTGTGGAAGGTTTGTAAATGGAAAGAATAGCAAAATCATAGCGTCATGAAGGAAAAACATTATTGTTAAAATGCTAAAATTCCCTTAGCATTTTAAGGGAATCCCTCATATCTTAAAGATAAAATGAGATTTACAGTTTTAGTAGTGAAGAGGTCTCATCTTACAGACTCCGTATTGATAGTCCTTCTGTTTACTGAAACCCGCTCTGCTTACTGACGGGATTTGAGAAGGTTTACAGAATAATTTAAAGTAAGAATCAGAGAAGAGGAGGATAATTCGATGGTATTTAGAATTCATAAACATGTTCTTATGGACATGTTCTTCGTGGAGCTGCTGCTGGTGATTACCCACATGGAAGGCCAGGCGTAGTAGTAAAACTCGCTCTCTGAAGAAGTGATCCCAGGGGACTTAAAAATTGGTCCATGGATATATTCGTCTGGTGATCTAAGGCTTAGAGAATTTACAATACAAATTTTATTGATTGACTCATAGTGAGGGCTGATAGGAAACAGAAGCTTGGAGTCTTATGGGAAGTAGCGGTACAGAAAGGAAAGCCATGTACGGACAGACTGAGCGTGGTTGCTTCGAGTCCCATCGTGCCTCCACAGGGACGAGTGGCAGTGGATCTGCGGGAGTTTACACCCAGGGCGTGAAGGGGACGTTTTCTCGTGGGCATTGCTTGTAGCATCACTCCGCACCCACGCGGGTGGTAGTATGGAACACTAATACTTACTGCTCTGCCCATGCCTATTGAGAGAAGATCGTAGAAGGTAGATGGAATGAGAGAAGTCTGAGATTTACCACATGCGCCGTGGCACTTTGTCATTCTGGCTTACAATTTTCGTAGAATATTGTAATTACTTATTTGCATTCAGTCTTCCTATTCAAGTTGAGTGCTCTCTGAGCATTTTATTAATTTTTTTTATGTTTGGTACAGTGGCTGGCAATTCCAGTCATGCAGCAAATGCTTTCAGAGTGGATACAAATACACTTTTCATGAAATTCAGGAAAAATGATCTCATCAGGAAAATCCAGGTGTACTAATAGGGGTATAAAATTAGCAACATGACAAGATAAATTCACAAAATTCAGTTGCAATATGATATGCCAGTGATAAAAGCTAAAGAGCCAAGCACAGTACTAAAAAATAGTTACTTTTAAAGACATTAGCAATGAATGGCATTAAATGTTAATAGCACTCTAATAAGGAAAGTTAGTTCATAGTTCATTCAAAGAATTAAAAGACTGAGGATTGTAAGAAAACTTGAAATTACAATGTTACATTTATTCTAGAAAAAAAAAAAACGTATAATCTTTTTGTGAGGTGGGGAGGGGAACGTGAATTTGGTGGAAGAGATTTCTAAATCTGGCCAAATTTCCTAAAATGAAAGACGTCACAAGTAGGTGAGATTTTGATTAAAAAATTAAAATATAGGACAGTGAAATAAACCAGGGATTCCAGAAATAAATTCGGTTTCTCAGGAGCCAGTTATGTGACAGCTGGGGAAGCGAGGGGCAGTGTGGCTTCACCACCTGCCACCGAAGAGGACGGGGTTCTGTATGTCGATGACTTCCTATGTTCCGTGCTGTGCGCCCACACCTCCTCCAGATAAAGAGTTAAACATGAGAAAACTTAGAAGTAAATTAATAAAGTAGATTAGGATATTTATTTCAAATGTAGATACTTATTTCTGTGGAGAAATTTGGAACAGTTTTTTTTTCCCCCAAAGAAGGTAAAATGTATTTTTTTAAATTAACATATAATGTAGTATTTGCCCTAGGGTACAGGTCTGTGAATCATTAGTCTTACACACTTCACAGCACTCACCATAGCACATGCCCTCCCCAGTGTCCATAACCCACCATCCTCTCCCTACCCCCCGATCCCCGATAACCCTCAATTTGTTTTGTGAGATTAAGAGTCTCTCATGGTTTGTCTCCCTCCCGATCCCATCTTGTTTCATTTTTTTCCCTCCCTATCCCCTGCCCTGCCTCTCACATTCCTCATATCAGAGTAGAACAGTTTTCAAGGTGCAGCTAAATTGTTAAAGAATTATTCTTAAGGACCAGTTAAAAGGTTTAGTGGCATTAACTTTTTTAAAAGCTGTGTAATGAAAAGTAAAAGATAAAGTAAAAAGTAGCACTGGGAAATTGTGAATATAAAGAAAAGCTTAAGATTTCAAAATGTGTAAAATTTACTTAGTACTGAGTTCTCACTAGACAAGGGATCGATTTTAATTCAACCAGGTCGCTCTTATATAAATAACTAGTTAAAAAAGCAACAGGACTGGGTGCCTGGGTGGCTCAGTGGGTTAAAGCCTCTGCGTTCAGCTCAGGTCATGATCCCAGGGTCCTGGGATCGAACCCCACATCGGGCTCTCTGCTCCTTGGAGAGCCTGCTTCCTCCTCTCTCTCTGCCTGCCTACTTGTAATCTCTGTCAAATAAATAAATAAAATCTTTAAAAAAAAGATTTAAAAAAGCAACGGGACTTGCTGTCAGGGTTGTCCGAGAACTCTGCAAGCCCTGTGAAACCCGCAGAGTTATTCTGACTGAGGAGATGAAGGATACCTTCTCAGAAGAGGGAAGTGTGAGCGGAGCCTTCCCTGGGCAGCTCTTGGAAACCGGAGAGCAACAGAAGTGCGTCAGGAAGAGAGTGACTTTGTGGTGCTGGAGACGTGGGCAGCTAAAAGCAGAGCCTCAGGACCCGTGCTCGCCCTGCAGAGTTAGCAGGGCGGGGGTGGTGCTGGGCGCGGGCTGAGGCACCATCCCCCGGACGGCCCTGGGTGGTGCGGTGCTCCCTGGTGATCTGATTGTCGTGCCCCGGTCTGATTCCGAGGTGACCGGTGGGCCTGGTGTGTAGGACAGATTGGAAAGTGAGGTCAGGGTTGGGGAGAGCAGCTCCGCTCAAGATGAAGGGTGACAAGGGCCCAAACCAGGCAAAGGTGGGGGGGACAGACATTGTAAAGGCAGCAGGGCATGGTTTGGACCCCACGGCATACTTTAGGATTTTTTTTTTTTTAAGATTTTATTTATTTGACAGAGATCACAAGTAGGCAGAGGCAGCAGAGAGAGAGAGGGGGAAGCAGGCTCCCCGCCGAGCAGAGAGCCCGATGCGGGACTCGATCCCAGGACCCTGAGATCATGACCTGAGCTGAAGTCAGAGGCTTAACCCACTGAGCCACCCAGGCGCCCCCATACTTTGGGATTTAAGCTGGGGCGGCAGGGTCTGCGCGCTCTCCCCAGAGCTTCTCCCCAAGCCCCCGCTAGTCGCTTTCCCCGCCCTGCGTGCAGCCACCGAGACTCAGTCCTGTGGGATTTGTCCCGGGCCGTACTCGTGCCTTTCTGCAGTGACTTCTTTATGAAAAGCCTTGGGAGAAATTTCTGGGTTCGGTGTTAGAATTTCATCTGAAGAGTTAGTTTACTTTTACATTTCGGATCCCCAGTTACGGGACCGGTTTTGTCCTAGTGATGGTTGCTAGATCTTGTTGGAGGCTGATGCCTGGGCTGACTGCACCTCTGCGCCTTCGAGGACGCTTCTCTGTTGCTCCCAGCTCCGTCCTCTGGTCTCGCCATGTTTCGTTTTCATCCAGTTAATTGTGCTGAACTGTGTTGGCATTTTGTGTAGATCGTACTCTTTAGGAGAAAATAGGGAATAAATACACATACTGTATGTATATAACCAGTAAACCCAGAGGGAAATTATGAAGCCCGGTGGCGTAGAGGCTGTAGAGAAATAAACACTCGTGTGGCTAATGGCTGGACACTGGCATTTCTGAGGATCGCATCTAGCAGCAGATACTGAGAGCCATAAAGTTCATATTTATTAAACTCTTAGTGTCACTCTTGAATATGCATCACCAAGAAATAACCCCAGAGAAATAGTCCACATGGTTACTTATGCTTCCGTACATGGTAGTGAGAAAGAGAAGGAACCCGAAGGCACAGGGTAGACCGGTTCAGTAAATCACCTAACACAATGGGGTGTGAGAAGGCCTCCAGAAAGGACTAAGTGGGTCCGATAAATAGAAATGTACATAAATGTGTACATTATCAAGATGTGCATTATATCCATGTAAGAAAAATATACATATATATGAATACATATTATGTACACACACACACACGGAAGTGAGAGGTCATGGGAGTTGTAAGTAATAGGGTTTTCTCCTCTGCAGAGTTGGTATAATTGGTAGGTACTTTCGAGATTAGCGCCAGTTAAGGAGTGGGTTCTGGAAACTTCATAAAAGTGAGAGCTTTACGCATGATCTTTCTTGAGTTACCAACAGCCTCTTTGTCCCTTTGTTTTCAGGATTTAAGCATTGAGGAACAGTCAGAGTGTACTCAAGATTTTTACCAGAATGTGGCTGAAAGAATGCAGACTCGTGGAAAAGGTAATGCTCTGTTCGCCAGCTGTAAAGGGATTGCTGGTAATTGAACAGAGTCTGACTGCTCTGTCTTTTAGAACTTTCTCTCTTTCTCTGATGGCCTGGCTGGTTTGCCAACTCCGTCCTGTAAACAACTCCACCGACATGGTGGTGGCTGGTCTTGTCCTGAGAGGGCCTTTGCATGCCACCATGTGTGTTACTCCAAAGTGATCACAGCAGTTGGGTAGTTTATTAAACATTGTTTAATTATCCTGTTGGGGTAGGGGTAGAGTCCATTAAAACCCCGTAGGAGGCTTCTGAATGAAATGCCCATCTTGGAATCACCATTTTGGTGAGTCATTTTTCATGATGATGTATTCCTCTGATGGCTGGAGGGATGGAAAAAATTTGAGAATCACTGACTTAGAGCTTAGATTTTTATTTTATTTATTTATTTTTTGTAAATATTTTAGAGCTTAGGTTTTTAGTGCATTTTCTTGAATTTGTCTTCCATTGGTGTTGGGTTTTAGGATATAGGTGGCGTGTATGTCTGTCTGGGAAATAAGTCCCACTGCGCATCTCTAAGAGCTCTCCAGGGTTGTACGGTAAACCTCAGAAAAGTAGAAGCGTGGGCTGCCAGCGTTCTCAGTCTTGGGAATTTCAAGTGCTTCTCTAACATAGCAATGTGGAGGGACCCATGCTGAGGTGTTCCCACTTGGCGCAGCGTACCGCGGTTTGGTCCTGCCAGAACAGTTTTCGGTTAGAGGTGGTGACTCTGTGAAGGGCAGTCCCAGAAGTTGAGGTAGATTTTTAAAAGGTATTTTTTAATGTAACATCTTACACTTCTGTTTCTGGGTATATTTAATGCATTACTAGTAAATTAGCTTTCTGCCGCATAGGGAAAGGGAAAGCTGTGAAGACTTCTCTTCCTTTAACCCGTCCACCCTTCCCTTGAGCTTTTATGTCCATTTGGATATTCCAGTGCCTCCCGAAAGAGTTGAGAAGATAATGGATCAGATTGAAAAGTACATCATGACTCGTCTCTATAAATACGTGTTCTGTCCGGAGACTACCGACGACGAGAAGAAAGATCTCGCTATTCAGAAGAGGATCAGGTAGCCGGTTGTTTTTCTTTGTCTTGTATTTACTGCTTGCCCGCAGGGGAACACCCTTGGATTTCAGGCCTTGACAGCAACTAACAGCCAAGGTACCCACCATCCTTAGCATCTCCACGGCTTCAGGGTGTCAGAAGGAAAAGCATCTGGTAAACTGTAGGAGGGAAGACCTGAAATCATGTACTTGCTTATCCATCTGACTCCAAGAAGCTTTAGAAAGGAAGCAGATCTGATGTTTCAGATTGTTTCAAATCTCCAGAATTTCCAAGGAACGGGGGGAAATGTCATTATTTTCTCATTTCATTATACTGTCTTGTCAGGCAAGAAGCTGTGATTATCCACATGAAGGCGGTAGGTGTCATTGTTCCTCCTCCCTGTCACTCATTATTTAACTGTTCTTCTGATCACAACTTGCACTCACACTGGGTTGACAACACTTCCCAAAGCGCTCCGTCTTCCCTTGGCAGCACAGTGAGCCCCAGGGCTCTGTATTACCAGTGGCAGCGAAGCCCGTAGGAAGTAGGCCATCAAATGTGGGAATGGGTCCAAGACTGGCCGTGCTAAGGTGCTTCTGGAGGAGGGGGTCTTGGAATCCAAACACGGTTCCTTGACAGTGGGGCTGCTAATTGGTAGACCGTCTTGATGTGTCACATTAGAAGCAAGGAGTTGGTATTAGGAAGGTGGCCTATGGAGCCCTAAGGAACTAGGTGGGCCTTGGACTAATGTGCGGGATGGGAGCATTCGTCAGTCGGAATCCCTGCTGTGAAGATAGGGAGACCAGGAAACTCAGGGATCCTGATTGGGGCGACACATGCTTGGTGACCTTTATTCACTGGTTCTGCGCTGCCTCCGTAGTTGAGGGTAGAGCCTCAGTGACGCTACGGTGATCGGCGATGGAGAGAGGGAGCGGCAGGTTCTTCTCAGATCTTCAGTCTCAGATCACTTCCGCTTTTCCTGTGATAAGAGAGGCCTCATTTGAGTGTTCTGGTCACTTCATCTGAGCTCCTGATATGTTCAGGGGCAACGTGCTGGGGCCTAGGATTGCCTCCTTAGTCAGTGGTGCCCCAGTATTTTCCCTTAACTGAAGGAAATGACAAGACAAATGACTGTGGTCCATTCTTGGAATTTTTTTTTTTATTGTCTCTCCCTCTTTGTAGAGCCCTGCACTGGGTCACACCTCAGATGCTTTGTGTCCCTGTTAATGAAGAAATTTCAGAAGTGTCTGATATGGTGGTGAAAGCAATCACAGGTCAGTGACGTGGAGAGCTTTTTCGTCTGGATATTTACCCCTTGAAGCTGACGTAAATCCATACAAGACAGTAAAGTGTTTCTAAAATGTAGACTGCCAAAGATACACTGGAATGTGGTAAAAGCAGCTTGTAAGTGTGCTGGTTTTATGAGTTTGGACCTTCATTTTAGCAGGTGAACGTTTCCTCTGTGCTTTCTGTGACCAGGTCTCTCATTTCGTGGGCATTGAACTAAACTGAGGTCAGATGCAGCTAGGGCAGATTTCTTGCCTTTTTTCTTTTCTTTTTTCCTTTTTTTTAGAGTGAGAGATGGTGTGTGTGACTGGGGCAGTGGGAGGGTGGAAGGGGGCAGAAAGAGGGTGAGAATCTCAAGCAGGCTCCATGCCCAGCGCAGCCCAGTACCGTGCTCAAGACCAAGACCTGAGCCGAAGTCGAGTCAAACGCTTAACCCACTGAACCACCCAGGTGCCCCAGCTAGGGAAAATTTCTGAAAACCCCGTTGCATTTACATATTCAGAATAATTTTGGAGGGAGGAAGCAAATTGATGGGAGAAGGTAATCCCCACACTATAGTTATATACTAAAATGAAATCTCTCTGACTGGTTGTTAGTCAGAGACGTGCTGTGGATGACTTTCCTGGTTTGTTCAGTGTAGAAATGAAGGGCCCTGATGCGGCGCCACCGTCCAGGACAGGTACGGGCACCTGGTAAGGATTCTGTTTCTTGCTCATAGGAAGAACCCAGCAGAAGGATACCGTGGAAGTTTAAAAAAAAAAAAAGAACCAAAACAAATTCAGCCTGATGGAGAAGACACCCAGACACTTCTTAATTAAGAAGAGTTGGAAAGACTTCCCTATTTAGAGCTGTTAGTGGAACTCCGCTGGGAGAGAAAGTTAGCTGCTGTTAGCCGTGGCTTGGGGCAAGCCATTAAGTAGGTTCCTTTGGTTCTAGGAACTAGAGACTCATGTTACAGGAAGAAATGGGGATTTGCTTGAGATACTCTCGAGGTAGGAAAGGGAGCAAGGCTCTCCCAGAAACTTAGCCCCGCTAGAGACTGGGTCATCTGCTCCTAACATGATTCTTCCACTCTCTCGGGTTCTGCTTCTCTTTGTATAGCTTTGCTTTTTAACTCCTGTTATAAAATGAATTATTTTCTGAGTGAATAATTTAATTCCGCTTGCTTACAGAGTCTAACTGGCCTAGCTAATTACCGTTCTCTGTTACTCAGAGCTTTTCTCCAAGGCTGTGTTGTAGGTTTCGTGAATTGTCTCCTTTGGGTCCAGGCCCACTCCCACTCCCACCTTTTGCTCAGGGAACATCATAAGAGATTGAAGGTGAGAAGCCTGGATGTAGGCCTCCTACTTGTGTTTTTTTCCAAAGACTCTTGTCAAGTTCAAGACCAGCTGGTTTATGTTTATAGTACTTCGTAGGAATTTATGCCCGGGACTCTTTCCTGAAGTGCCATAGGGTTAGACCTTGTAAAACCAGAAACTACAAAAGCCAGACCATTGTTCGCTTAAAAATAGAACTGAAAGGACTTCAGTATTTCAACAGTTTGTTAATAGAATTTGAGGTGAAACTCCTCTCAAGGCCTCTGAGTTGGAGTTTAAAGAGATGTGTTGATAGTAGAAATTTGGCTACAGAATTTTAAAAGCCTCCTTACTTTTTCTCATCTTAGCCCCTATATCTTGCCAGTCTGAGTGCATATACATTCTGCGAGGGCCACAGGCTTTATGAGCACTTTTTCCTAATCTCCAGGTGTTAGCCCAAGTACAGGAACAAACACGGAGGACAGTGTCTAACCCTGGTCTTCAAAATGGAGATACCAGTTAAATTTCTCAGCATCATCCCATGTGCTGCTGATCAGCACTGGCAGTTTTGTTGATAAATACGCTGAGTGAGGCATTTTCCATTTTATTTGACATCTGTCATCCAGGAGGTGGAGGCCGGGGATGCTGTTAAACATCCTTCAGGACCGGACAGTCCGCTCACAGAAGAGATGATCCAGTCCAGAGTGTCGTTGGTGCCAAGGTCGAGAAGTCATGACTTAGAGGGCTAGCCTGCTTTGTTTTCAGAACTCGCTAAAGCTAAAACTGGACTTTACACGCAGCCTGGCTTGCGTCCTGCCCACCCTAAAAGCCCGGGACAGCAGACGCGCAGCTGTTATCTGAGGACTGTGAAGTGACCGCAGGCAGACCTGGGTGGGAAATCATTTCGTGGAAGAAGTTAACACGATGGGGAATTTCCTGTTCTGTTGTTTCCTCCCAGATCCTCAGTTAGGCTTTAGGGCAGTGCAGATCATGGAGCTAACTACACGTGGTGGGGGGCTCAGCAGCATTCCCCCAAAAATCTTCTTTCAGTCTTGAAGGGTGCTAGGAAGGGGAAGCTTTGCCGCAGGACAGGGTGTGGGAGAAATCTCCACACCACCCGCTTTATTCTTTTCTTCCTTCCCTTCTCTCCGTTTTACACTCTTGGCCCTCCCTCCTGGCATTGGCAGCTACACATGCTTCCAGATAAAAAGTGATTCTTTTTTTATTCACTTTAATACTTAAAGAATAAACATTAATGAGAGATTGGCTAAAAGTTTAAACTAAGAGTAAAAACCGGTAATAAAAGGTAGGAAGCTAAATAGCATAAATGAAAGTAGTGAAATTGGTTTAAAAAGGTTTTCTCCCAAGTCTCTCTTGTAATATGTTCTACTCAGAGAAAACAGGCTGAGACATATTAACAATAATTACAGTCCATAATTAAAAGACTAAAGGAACCAAACTATAAAATAAGGAAAACCACACAGTAGACTCGTGAGTTCAGGGAATGAAAGCATCAGTAAGTTTTTTTTTTTTTTTTTTTTTTTAAGATTTTATTTATTTGACAGAGATCACAAGTAGGCAGAGAGAGAGGAGGAAGCAGGCTCCCCGCTGAGCAGAGAGCCCGATGCGGGGCTCGATCTCGCGACCCTGGGATCATGACCTGAGCCAAAGGCAGAGGCTTTAACCCACTGAGCCACCCAGGTGCCCCCATCAGTATAAGTTAAAATTCAGCCTCCGCACGGTCCGGTGGCTCAGCCCGCCACACGCTCCCCTTCTGTGGCTGGTGGTCCTGTGAGGGCTCCCCCCGGAGCCGACCGCAGGGATGGAGCTGGGAGCGGAAGGAACCCTGATGCGCCCCACCGTCCCCCCCCCAAACTGGAAACTTCAGTTCCTGCTATGGGCAGCTACTGCTGTCAGAGGAACGTGCCCCGCTGCTTCCACGGGTCCGCAGGCAGCAATGCACATTCGAGGGCGCCCTCCCCCCTTCCCTTGCACCGTGTCCCCGGGGCTGACTCCTGTTCCTCGTGGGCTCCTCGTCCTAGTGACACAGGACGGTTTCTAAGAGCCTGCCACTTAGGGGGTTAGGGACAGTGAAGCGGTTTTTCTCTGAGGGAAGTGAATGTTGCGTGCGAGACTAAATGTGTATCCTTGCTCGTCCCCATGCTGACCAGTGGGCTGCGAATGTCGTCGAGGGGCCCTGGTGGTTTCTGGCCGGGGGGGATGGGCACGTCCTGTAGACCGACCCGTCCGGGGCTTTGGCAGCCCATGTCCGGTGCGACGATGCTGTGTCATCCTGCCTTTCTAAAGAGCAGCATGCGTTCTGCACGGTTCCCCAGGGTGGCAGAGGAACAGGAGCAGGAGGAAGACTGAATCATCCGGAGAGCTCACCAGCAGCTTCACACCGTGGCTAAGAGCGTGGGTTTCAGAATCCGGCAGACTCGGTTTCAAATCCCCCCTCCGTCCCTTGCTGTCTGTATGATTTGGGCAAATCACCAGGCTTCTCTGAACCTCACTTGCCTTCCTCACAGCTGTATCCCTTGCCCAGTCTGAGGATGGAAAAGCAGTGGGCTTGGGGGGCACAGAAGTAACGCACGTAGCGTCCGCTTTGTGGTCGGGCGTCCTGAAAGGACGAGCTGAGCTCACGGTGTTTCGTGGTCAGTTTTCCCGCACCGACTTACCTGGCGGAGGCGGCTCAGCGGGGCCTCCGCACGCTGCTCGGTTAGAAAGTGCTGATTCCCGTGCCGCGTGTTCGTATGTCCTCACCGGAAGCCGTGTCTTCCCGCTGCGCAGATATCATCGAGATGGACTCACAGCGGGTGCCGCGCGACAAGCTGGCCTGCATCACCCGCTGCAGCAAGCACATCTTCAACGCCATCAAGATCACCAAGAACGAGCCAGCCTCAGCCGACGACTTCTTACCGACCCTCATCTACATCGTCTTGAAGGGCAACCCCCCGCGCCTCCAGTCCAACATCCAGTACATCACCCGCTTCTGCAACCCGAGCCGGCTGATGACCGGCGAGGACGGCTACTACTTCACCAACCTGGTAAGCCTCGCGCTCCGGGAGTTACGGCGAAGATCTTACTTCGTTACGGAGGTTCTTACTTCAGGGATGTGACAGGGCGCTCCGGGCCTGGGACGGTTCCGTGCCACTGCGTCAGCATAGCTGAGGATGCTTGCTTGGTGTCACAGAGCTCACGCGACCACGCCATGCAGACACCGCATCTCCGGTCCTCGGCCGGCCAGCACGTGGCCACGCGGGGGAGCGTCTGCTCTGCGCGGCCGTCCCGCCCCGGGTCCCCGGTAGAAGGGCCACTCGCTCAGTTGGGTTGTTTAACCATGAATGAATCAGATCATGGATTTTGAATTATTAAAAGACTTAGGAATTATTTTTTGCTTTATTTTTGTAAGTGATCTCTTAGAATTGAATACTGAGATTTTAAAAAGCTCGGTTTAGAGGATGTGAGGTGATTTTCAAGTATCGTTAGTAGTGCTTGTTGATTCTTGGTAAGACAGTGTTCAGGAATGCGTGTCTGAGTCGTAGGGCAGAGTACTTCTCCCGACCACTGGACTTGTCTGTTGTTTACTTTAGAATAGGTTTGCTAGTGAATTTGAGCCTCAAAACACCTTAAACACTTTCCTTCCTGTGTTTGAAGCCGTACAGGATAATAGGGAGAGGAAGCCAGGTTGCTTAAGGAAGTGTTTCTGGTAAATTCTAGTAAATTGCCTAAAAAGACGGTACATGAATCTTCAAGGCTTTCAGAAAGTTGTTGTGATTTATTTTTACATCCCAAATATGTACTCACCTTTGTACCTAATTTTGTGTCGTGTTTTCCTTTAAGTGGGTTCCCAAAAGCGTGTAAGCTCCCGGTCCCTCAAAACCTGGTTCTGCCCCTGTCGCTCATCACCCTCAGCCGTTGGGTTCAGCTGCTAGACTTGGGAGTGCTCTTTTCCTTGTTTCAGGTTTTTATTTAAATTCCAGTTAGTTAACAGACCGGGTAATGCTGGTATCAGAAGCAGAACGTAGTGAGTCCTCACTTAGAGACGGCGCCCGGTGCTCATGACAAGTGCCCTCCTTAATGCCCGTCTCCCATCCAGCCCTTCCCAGGAATGCTTTTCTCCAAAATGCTGCTCGAGCTGTTATTTGCAGTATTTTTCATTCTTCCAGACACGTGGTTGTTTAAACTACACCCCCCAGAAGGTTAGGTGGCCGAGTACCCATTTCTTTTCGCAAGCGCACCGTGCTGTTGACTGCTGGAGAGGAGCCTTGTGGATTTAGTTCTTACCCTGGGGAACCTCAGACAGTCTGAAGATCTCAGAGAAGTTGGAGACGGAGACGTGGCTGGTGGTAGAAGCGACGAGCGGGACCGGGAGGTGTAGCCCTTGGGGTCAGCAGCGGAGGCTATTCCTGCCGCTTCCCGAGGCCGGAGCCTTCTTTCTCACCCTCCTCTCGTCTGGGTCAGAGTCCGGCTCCGGGGAAGAGTCCGCAGGTTGTCAAACCCACGACCGCTCCCGTTGTGCGTCCTACTCCCTTACCGCCCTTGAGGACTCCTTCTGCAGCTTCTAGATCGTTAGTTTGACGGTTCTGCTCCTTCCTTGTCTGTGTCCTCGGCTTCCTCGCGAACGGTGTCACTCCCCAGGGGTCCCCGTGGCTCCTCTCCCCGGGCCGGCGCAGCTCTGGTCACCTGCACTTGGACAACGTGCAGGCGTGTGGCCCCTGCTTTGCCCTCGCACTGAACCCCGCTTCCAGCCGTTTCATCCTGCCCCACATTTAGTTTCCAAGACTCACAGCTTCTCGAATGGCCGATGGCTTTCTCTTTTCTAACGTCCGCTGTTCCCGCGTGTGGCACGAGTACCCATGCCGGGGGTGCTGGGACCGTCTTTGCTCCCTCCACGCGCCCGGGAACTGGGACTGGCCGCTCCCACAGACACCGGGCAAGCCTGGCGGGGGGCGGGGGGTGTCGGAGGGACACGTTCTTGTTAGATGCGTCCGTTGCAATACAGTCGCTAAACATCCCGTCCTTGAAGGGGTTCCCTTCTTCACAAGCAGTGACGTCGGATCCTGGGAACGAGCATCTCGGAAGAAACTCCGAGCGCCGCCATCCTCCTCTGCTTGTGTTCCGTGTCTTGTGAACACAGGAGGGGCGGGCTCAGTCAGTGGAGTGTGCGACTCCTGATCCTGGGGTTATGGGTTCGAGCTCCATGTTGGGTATGGAGGTTACTTAAAAAAATAAAAATAAAATGAGCAAATAAATAATAAAAATGAAATTAATTTTCCTTGTAGAAGAGTCAGTATAGGAAAGGCTAGCTGACAGACGTCTGTTCAACTGAGCATTCGCCCGAGGGTTTCTGTGCCAGTCCCTGCTCCCATGGACTCTGCCTGCTGCTCAGCCGTGGGTGCTGCTGACCTGTGGGTGCTGCTGACCCATGGGCTGCGCGTGCTGTGTGGCGGGTGCTGCGCTCTCACGGGAAATCTGGTGCCTCCCCATCTTACGGACACACGGACGTCAGGGTGTGGGGAGACTTGCATAGGCACACAGACTCTTGGACTGTCACTTGACAGAGGGGACAGCTCAGGTTGCCTGATTTCAAAGTTTCTTTTTCTAAACATTTGATGTGAAAGGACCAAAGGCCCTTTGAGGCCCGGAGGTCTGTGTGCCACAGCCATCCCCAAAGATCGCAGGCCGCTGCCGTGCCCTGAGGGAACGCTGTGAGACTGGCTCGACCTCGGAAGGGAATGGCTTTGTGGGGCAGGTTCCCTGGACACAGGGCCCTAGAGCTCCCAGCCCCAGCACGATTCCTCTTCCCTGTGGCACAGCAGGGCAGCAGAGAGCCTCGGGTCTGAGGAACTGTTCGGTTTTGTCCACGAAAGCTCTGTGGTAGCCAGTGTGGGACAGACCCTGAAGGTGCCTGCTCTAGCGTTTCACGCTGTACAAGACCCCTGGACCTTTGAACAACCCAAGGAAAGGAATGAATTTCTGACAGACCCAGTGAGAATCGGCAATTTGACTTTTTTTTTTTAAAGATTTTATTTATTTGACAGACAGAGATCACAAGTAGGCAAAGCAGCAGGCAGAGAGAGGTGGGGGGAGGCAGGCTCCTTGCTGAGCAGAGAGCCCGATGCGGGGCTCTGACCTGAGCCAAAGGCAGAGGCTTTAACCCACTGAGCCACCCAGGCGCCCCTGACTTTTTTTTTTAAAGAAGGAAATGTATCATTTCAAATGGGACTATAAAGGAAACGTGATTGGCCCTGAGTTGTAATTTTTGAAGCTGAAGTCCCTGGGGGGTCGTTAGACTCTTGTGTGTCCTTTTGATTCTGTTTTAAATGCACCATAGTGAAAGGATTTAAAAATACGTATTTGAGAATCTGAATCTTTCTTGGGTGACCGGAGTAAATAACGTTCTCGGGCTTGTTTGTTTCTCTAGTGCTGTGCTGTGGCTTTCATCGAGAAGTTAGATGCTCAGTCTTTGAATTTAAGTCAGGAAGATTTTGATCGTTACATGTCTGGCCAGACTTCTCCCCGGAAGCAGGAATCTGAGAACTGGTCTCCTGACGCTTGCCTGGGAGTCAAGCAGATGTACAAGAACTTGGATCTCCTGTCTCAGTTGAATGAGCGGCAAGAAAGGATCATGAGTGAAGCCAGGAAACTGGAAAAAGATCTCATAGAATGGACAGATGGGGTCGCTAAAGAGGTTCAAGACATTGTTGAGAAATATCCCCTTGAAATCAAGCCCCCGAATCAGTCTTTAGCAGCTATTGACTCTGAAAATGTTGAAAATGATAAACTTCCTCCGCCACTGCAACCTCAGGTGTATGCAGGATGATGGGAGTGCACATGGACGGTATTTATTTGAGCCTAAATTGTAGCGAGTCCTTCCTACAGCCGAGGTTGGGATCTAGACTGTAACTTAATCGCTTCTATGTGTCAGAGCATTTTTAAAGGTACAGTTTGTGGGGATTGTTTTGTTTTGTTTTGTTTTTCCTGGCAGGGGAAGCTTAGTAAATAATAAAATACTATTTATTTGAGTTATGGAAATAGATTCATTTAAGGTTTATGTGAAAGTTTTGTCTAAATCTCTTTTTTCTCCATGATTTTCTTAAGTGCTTCCTCTGTGGCATTCACTGTGGTTTGGATTTGGGTAAATAATTGCCTTTAAAGGATAAAACAAATGAAAGCTACAAAACGTATCTTGAAGGGATTCAACGGTACCACCGTTCTGCAGTTTGAAATATTTTATAATTGTAAAGATAGAAGATATATTGATAAGTAAATATGTAAAATTGTAAATATGTAAAAACAAAAAAGGAATGGTGTCTGCTGTGCATGGCATTTCATGTGTTAATTTGTTTAGTTTAAAATGAAGTATATTGACTGTTTGCCTTTAACTCCGCTCTATTCGGTTTGCCCACCTCAGTGAGTCCAGAAGTGCTTAGACAGACTCCCTTGAAGTCTCGGCTCCATCAGCCCCGACTTGGCCTCTGTACGGTCAGAGACTGTGACGCCATTGAGGTTCAGAGTAATTTTTAGGTCCCATGAAGTTGCCGTTCAGGGTCATTTGAAGAGTTTGAACCGTGCTTCTTGCATCTTTTTCCTCCACTCATTCAGGAAATATTTATCGAGTTCTTTTGAAGGAGCTGGTCCTGGGTCTGGCCCAGACGACAGGAGTGAACAGGACTGCACTGGGGAGAGCAATGGGGGATCCCTCCGAGCTCTGACGTGCATAGCTGCCTTTCTGCCTCAGTAGCGGACGTTTGACTTGATGCACAACCTGGACACACGTCCTGTAAACCTCTTCCAGGGTTTCTCCACCTCAGTACTGACATTTGGGGCCGGAGGATTTTTTGTTTTGGGGGCTTCCCTGTGCATTGTAGGGTGTTTAGCAATATTCCTGGCTTCTGACGCACTAGCCACTAGTGGCACCCCCCACAGTTGTACAAAATTATCTCCAGACATTGCCAGGCATTTCCAGGTTTGAGTGGGGCGGCAAACTCACCCCCAGTTAGGAACGACCGATCTGTTCCGTGAGTGAGGAAGTCCTGCTGGTGGTTAATACAATGTAACCAAAGAATATTGCATTAAATGCACAGAACAGTTAACTGATAGTCGCGGAGGCTCTTTAGCCTCGGGCACTGTGGAACCTTTTCTAACCCTAATGGAGCCCTTCGTCACCTGAGTATGCCGCGTGTGGTCCTCCCCCCAGTCAGTGACTTCTACAGATGACCAGTGGACCTTTGAAACTGTGCGTCCTGCCCGGGGCCCCATTCTGAAACGAGGTCACATCACAAGCAGTTGTTTCTTTGCTTTCCCAGTATCTTCCTGGTAGGGAACCACAGATCTGTAGTGCAATAATTTTGGAATAAAACTAGGGTGAATATACAACTTTATCCTTTCCTTAAATTTACACGTAAGGTCCATCGGGTTGGCACACCTGTTGTCATAACGCACTGAAGACGTGAAGCGGTGACCCGAGTCACCTGTCACCGTGCTCACGGGGAGTGCGGCAAGTTACTGCGACAGGCCAGTGAGGATCTGCACTTAGAAACCCGGGCCCCACTGACCTCCGTAGAAGGCGCTGCCCTTTCCCGTCGTTCTTTTCTATGTACTTTCTAGGTGCTAATCCAGGTATACACACTCTTAACTCTCCTGGGAATACAGTTCTTTCAGTTGTTGTACACTCTGTTTGTTAAATAAAATGTGCATATCGGCCTCCCACAAAAGCTGTCTTCTCTCGATTTCTCACTATTGTTCAAGAAAGCTGTTGCATTGATTTCTTTGTACGGCTCCTGTCAGTTGCATTCTGTAGATGTGAACTCTTGCCTTCGGGAAGCTTCTGTTTCCCTTGGGTCCACTTCAACACTATGGCCATAGTCTGTGTCTCCTCGACAAGAACGTGTTGCTGTTTTATGTACTAAACGTAACCGGAATAAACCTTTGAACAGAAGTCCGTATTAGTAAGGTTTCATGATCCATCCCTCTTCCAAACAGATTGATTTTTAGTTGTCTTAGGAAAATGACATTACTGATATCTCACGGTACAAAGTTTTCCTGTTGAACAACCATCATTACCATTACCGTTCCAGAAAGGAAACATCGCAGACATTCGTGTTAAAATTAAGAACAAGAGAAGGATGTTTGCTGTCACTATTATTTGCATTGTTCTCGAAGTTTCACCCCAGCTACTCAGTCTTTAAACAGAAGTAAACGGGGACTTAATCTTTTTTACTTATTTATTTTTAAAAAGATTTTTTTTGAGAGCATGAGAGAGGGAGGAGTGGAGGGAGAAGGAGAAAGCAGACTCCCCACTGATTAGGGAGTCCACGCAGGGCTCAATCCCGGGACCCTGGGGTCAGGACCTGAGCCAGAGGCAGACACTTGCCGCATGGAGCCCCCCAGGCAAAGGGAGCTGAATGTAATCGATACGGAAATGTCCTAGCAGGTGGCTGAGGACGAGAACTCAAGCTAGGAGGCGTGGTGCTGGTTTTGACTTTTGGCCGCCACTTAGATCTCAGCTCTCCAGCCTTGAGCAAGTCTCTCATGTGTCACATCTCTAGTCTGTGACTTGGGATCATGGTCGTGTCTGCTTCGAAGGCTCATGAGGATTAAACGACCTGTAACAGTGACTAGCAGTGCTAAGTGCTCAAGTCATAGGTGATTCTTCTGTGTAGAAAACCCAAGAGAACTGATTTTGAAACCTTAAATTTAACTAAAACAGTAAGACAGAAAATGCTAGGAAAAGCCATCAAAAGTAACTGCACAAAATGACTTTTCTGTGTCTTGTTACTAGCCAGTTAGCAAATATAATGGGAAAATTTTACTCACAATGGCAACATAAATCAAGAGCTTTTAAGATTTATATGGAAAAAATATATAAAATTGAGAAAAAAAATAGACATACACAGAGCCGATGCTCAAGTTCTCTGCACTTGGGCTGTAATGTTCTATCTCTGCCATCTTGGAAATTCTTTAAGATTTTTTTTTTAATGATTTTTTGTATTTCTTAGCATGAGCAGGGGAGAGGAAGAGGGAGAAGAAGATAGCCCGCTAAGCGGGAAGCCTGATGCAAGGTTCAATCCCAGGGACCCTGGGATTATGACCTGAGCGGAAGGGAGACACTTAACCGACTGAGCCACCAAGGCTGCCTGCCATCTTGGAAATTCTTAATAATTTTATCATTGAATTTGGTGGGGGTTTTGGGGTTTTGTTTTTAGTTTATTTATTTGACAGAGAGAGCAGCAGGCAGAGGCAGAGGGAGAAGCAGGTTCTCCACTGAGCAGGGAGCCCAATGTGGGGCTCCATCCCAGGACCCTAGGATCATGACCTGAGCCGAAGGCAGCCGCTTAACCGAATGAGCCACCCAGGCGCCCCTGTCACTGAATTTGTGTTTTTAAGTGAAGTTCGATGGGACAATGGATCATGCACAGTGAGGCTTAGAGCCTTAGCTCATTCACAGTCTCGCTTCTGACCACCCTCCAAGAATGAGCTCTTGGTCTTACCCTTTCCAGCGTATGACCACTCTAGCCACGGCCTGGGCACTCAGGAATGGTCAGTGCTGGGTGTGCTCACTTGGGGCGTTGGACCAGGACATGATGTGCAATGGATGGTTCGCTGTCTGAGAGCTGCATCTTGGCCAGTTCAGGGCTGGGGTTTGTCCAGCATGCTCCATGGAGAAAAGGCCTAAACCAGGTGAGTTAAAAAAATAATAAGGAAAATAAATCTTTTTGGTCTGAAAGCAAGAAAGTGAGAAATTACTTTAAGGCTAATGGGCATAGGAGTCAGCTTGAAGGGTTCTCACTGGCCGATTTGGGGGCAGTTTGAATAAAAATCTATGAAGAATAATTGTGAAAAATCGAATAAATTTTTAAAACCTCCACATACTGTAGGTTACCATTATACCAACGCATTTGGAGGAAGAACTGTAACTGGAACCCAGATGATGGAGGGAAAGCCTTCCTCACAGTAAAATGACAGCTAGTAAGTGTAGGGGGTGGAAATGCAATTTTAAATCTCAGTCTTTTAGCTCAGGACCAGATGGCTTCACTGCTGAATTCTACCATTTAAGGAACTAAGTCATTCCTGTTCAAGCTGTTCTAAAACATCAAAGAGGGAATACTCTTTTAAAAGATTTTTTTATTTGACAGAGATCACAAGTAGGCCAAGAGAGATAGAGAGAGAGGAGGAAGCAGGCTCCCCACTGAGCTGAAAGCCCAACACGGGGCTCAATCCCAGGACCCTGGGATCATGACCTGAGCCAAAGGCAGAGGCTTTAACCCACTGAGCCACCCAGGCTCCCCTAAGTGGTAATACTTCTTAAGAGACCAGCATTACCTTGATACCAAAGTGAGTTAAGGACACTATGAGAAATCTATAGACCAATTTCCCTGGTGACTACAGATGCAAAAATTCTCAACAAAATATTAGCAAACTAAGTTCAACAACACATTAAAAGTATAATACACCATGACCAAGTAGGATTGATTCCTGGAATGCAAAAATGGTTCAACATACAAAACCAGTCGATGCAATACATACATACAGTCATCTCAACTGAAGCAGAAAAAGCCTTTAACAAAATTTAATACCCTTGGAGAAAAAAAACAGCAAACTAAGAATAGAAGGAAACCACAGCATAATAAAAGGTTTATATGAAAACCCAAAGCTATACTCAATGGTGAAAGACTGAAAGCTCTTTAAGACCAGGAGCAAGACAAGGATGGCTGCTTACACCACTTCTAGGCAAGATGACATGTATGTTGGAATTATCTAATGAGAAATTTTAAGACGCCATCCTAAGAATGCATTGATGAGCAAAGATGAACATGCCTG